CCCTCTCATGACAGCTCTGGGACAGAGCTGTGCTCCTGCCGGGCTGCCCAAGCACAGCACTGGCCTTGTCCACCCCAGTTTGTCTGTCCTGAGTGCCCTGGAGGCACCTGGATGGGGAGTCCTCTCTGCACGAGCCAGGAGGGACCCACTGATGCCACCACAGCCCCACCTCACACAGCCCGACACACAGCAGTGCTGAACAGGAGGGGGGGTCTGAGTTATCCCAAGTGCTTTTAGTGGAAGTTATTTCAAAATCCTTTTGATGGGTTTAAGGAATGTTTTCTTTTAATTTCCAAGGAATTTGGAGTCCACGTGTTCATTTGTTCTTTCACTGTTTTTTTCAGATAAATTTTCATTTTCTGCTTTGGTGCTAATCTGTCTGCTGTTTTTTTCTTTGTTTTTGAACAAATTGTTTTCTGTGTCGGCTTTAGTTTTACCAGCTAAAGAACTTGGACTTAAATTTCTTTTCAAGAGATACCTCACCAGTCCCCTTTCCATATTCACATGCTTTTCCTGTTAGCTACTCCCATGTCAAAGCACCTTTCCTCAGCATAAGCCTCTTGCCAGTGCATCTCGTGCTTTTCTACATGCTCCTGCTGAACCTATTCTGACTTGGTGAAACCAAGAAGAGACAAAAACAGGGAACATCTTAGGGGGCCATCCTTAACATGACTTCCTGTGTCTTAAAAACTGTAGTTTTAAAGTCCAGAAAGGCCTCACATCTGAATGTGGTTTGGAAAGAACCACTTTTTGAGGAAACTGATGAACCAACTGTAAGAGTAGAAAGCATCATGCCCAGAGGGTCTTTGGCCTTTCCACTGAAATTCTGAACAGCCTGGCAATTAATGACATTTCCAGGAGAAAAAAGCAGGAACTGACTTCAGGGTAGCAAGTCATTTCATCTGAGGCATGGGAGAGCCACTGGATAGCTGAGTTGTTTGGTTGGGGACATCCTTAAACTATTGCTGAGAAATATACAAATAAAGATTTCTGCGATAAAACAACATTCCTTTGAGACCTTCTTTTTCCTTAGTTCTAGTTAATGGTGATTACCTACACTGGTAATGGTGTGATATGAGCCACCTGCAATTTCCCACAAAAGGAAGAAGATCTTGCTACATGTTACCTGCCTCACTATTTCCTGTAGAGCCTGATCACATCAGATAAATTTTGAGGGCACCTTCTGAAATTTCAGGTTCTCAGTGAAGTATTCCAGCAGGTCAGCTGTGTTTGTCAATGATCAAACACACACTTGGCAAGTTATTTTGCAGAAGCCTCTTACCACTCATATCTGTTATCAATTAAACCACCACAAATTCATGGGTAATTTATATTTCTAAATGTCTGCAAACCCGTTCTACTTCTACTGAAGTTCAAATACAGCCAAGTTTATACAAGAATTACTAATTGGTTGTAAAGGTCATGCCTTCTGAATACATGTATATTGGAGGTGAAACCTATTAGACTGTGGTATTATACTTAGGCTCAGTGCTGAATTTAGATTAAATGGTATTATATTGATTTGATAAGCTGTTCAGATATGCTGAAACTTTAATTGAATGTATGAGAAGATAATTCTAACAGATACACCCTTAAAAGCAGTAGTTCAGTGATTTGAAACTGCTTTTTCATACAGGCTTCCACCAGTGCTCAAGAAAGAGAAAGAGGTATTTTGGCATTGTTAATTTGAGACTGTGTGTTAATAAATATCTAAGGAGAGGTTCTTTCTTTTCCTTTTCAATATGGATGAGTGCCCTTTAAAAGCCAAAAGGGAATTGATGTAATCTATTGATTGCCATTTAAATGCCTTTATAAGCTAATTAGTGCAAAACGTAAAATGTTTCTGAGCAGACACCAGCAACAACCATGAAAACACAGGAAGGTTTCTTGGATTCTTAGATACACTGGGAGGACAAACACCCTTACACAGAGAGCCTCCAGCAAGTGAGAAGTGTGAACAGTGTCTGCTGTGAAGCTGTTACAACACAGCGGCTGTGGCTGGAATGTGAGAGCAGTGTCAGTGCCCGGGCCTGCCTGGAACAGGAATGATGCACCCAGCTCAGCCTACATAGCTGGGACAGCCTCTACCCGGGAGACACCGCGAGTTCAGGGACACCGCCAGGACTCTGAAATAGGTCACTGGCTGGAGTCTGCCCAGGCCTGAAGTGGCTGAAAAGTCATTACCATCTGTTCATCTGAACTGAGGGGCTGGTATCGCTCCAGTTTCAGGTATTCACAGGTATTTACACTGTAAAGGAGACCTTCAGAAATGATCCTATCTGGAAATGGGAGCCATGGCCTGAAGGCTCTAAAGGAGCTCCTTCTAGCACAAGTAGACAACACGGTGGGGATCTGAACCTCCTCTACGATGCATCAGGAGGTAATTTTCCTTTCTGCTGGCACTTTTCTCTGGCCAACAGTAGCCATTAAGATCAATATCTGACTAATATCTTTGAGAAACATTTTAGCCTTACAGCCCTATGAAGAGATAGATATTATCCTTGCTGCATCTACACATGTGCTGACCTCCTGCTCACAGCCCATCTCTAGGGAAGATTTACCTACACATGCCACAGCAGAGTATGTAGATAAGCATGGGCACTGGATTGCACTAACTTCCTCTTGCACCTTTCCTTCAGTTAAAACTTCCTTTCTCACTGGGTAGCTGATCCTGAACCACTCAGCCAACTGCTGCTTGAATTGGCTAAATGCTGGAGGCAGGGGATGGGTGAAAGAGGATATTCCCCTTACACAGGGCATAAGCATTCCCCTGTACCCAGGAGAACCCATGGCTTTTTCTGACTCAGAGTATCATCACTCCCATGGATGCTCCAGAAGCAGTGAGAAAAGATCTGCCAAGGGAGAGCAAATCCCCTAAAAAGAGAGAGGTGCAGTCTGTGCTGCAGGACCTCAGAAACCCGGAGTCCTCTAGGAGTTATTTCAAGATTCAGCCACCATTACCCTCTCATTAAGTAACTAATAAAGACTGTACAATTTAGTATTTATGAGAACATACACATTTAATCTAAGGCAAAGCTTTTGCCCTTTTCAAATCAACTGAAGAAGACTCTAATTACAACACTTTCATGGTTGCATCACTCTATTCAAATTAATTACTCTGCAACAGTTAATACAACTGAAATTATGTTGTGTGCCTTGAGAATACTGAAGAAAGAGAAGCACCACTTAGGGCCTATTCTTTTTCCCACTTGGCCCATCCAGCCTCACTCCACATTACCAGGGCTCTGCTCTCCTCCATCCCCATCTGACTCCTCTCCTGGCCTGATGGAGCTGACAGCTCCTGACAGATCAGCCTCATTTACAGCCCTGCTTTCCCCAGCACCAGGAGACAGTCACAGCTCATCTCAAGACTATCAACAGCACAACAAAGTATTCATGCATTTACCAGACTTTGTATCCTTTCACACAAAACACTCATGCCTTTGATCTCTCCATGAGAAGGGATTTCCTTGTTGTGTCAAACTATTAAGGAAATGAAGAAACACCCCTATACAAGCCCTCTTTCTGTATTAACTGTATTAACAGTAACACGATATTCAAAAGAAGATATTTTTCCCTCTCAGAACAGTATAGTGACTATAAACAGCACCAGTATTTCTAATCAAGTTGTACTACCTCTTCTGACAGGTCCACTCAACTCATTTTTGCTGTGCAGATAATGCTGCTTCAGGCTGATAATTAAATGAAATAAAAATTTTTATATATTAATGTCACCCTTATAAGGTCAGTGTTTACCTCACAGGATTTTAAGACAAACAGGAGCCTTTGTAATGTACCAGCCACCACAGTTAATTAAGAACTACTGAGTATCTATCTGAGTGTAAAGACACTACATGCAGGTAAAGCAGAGTACAAAAGCTTCATAAAACACCTTTGCATTCCCTTTCATCTTTACATTAGATGTACACGCACATGTACGCGTGTGGACATGGACTGAAATTTTAAATAAATCCAAGGAGCCCTCAGGATTTATTCAAGGAGCCCTCGGTGTTTCATCAGCCTACAGCAGCCAGGGTTTTTTGTCTGCCTCCTCCCTCCCCCCTGCACCTGGGCAGCATGCGTGACAGGCAGTAATTAGTCCTGCAGCACTGACCACTGCTCTGTACAAAAAAATGTTGGTTTGAATGGCACCTGATTGGCACTGCTGAGAGAGAACCAAGAGCTCCCTGAGAGGGCCGAGCATTTCAGTTTGCCCTTGGAAGGCCAGAAATAAGAGCTTTTCAGGACAGCGTTTTCAGAGGCATAAAAGTGGTCTGAGGTCATATTTAGAGTTCTTAATGCCCCTCACCAAACTCTCTGCAGTTCAGCTTGTGGCTTGGCAAGAGGAGAACGAAAGGATGATCTTAAATAAAAGAGTGCACCCCCTCTACCCCCAAATGTTGCAAACCCAGCATTTCTCTAACCAAGGCAAATACACCCCCAGTGTTCTGGGGTACAGAAGTTTTACCCCTGACTGCCTGACAGGGCCACAGCCAGACGCTGGTGAGCAATGAAGACACAGCAACAACAATGGCAGCAATCAATGCACCCACAGAAATGAGCAGCAACACATGCCTCCCATCCCCCTTCCGCTCTGGCATGTGAGTGCCCATGTCGGATGGCATTACCGGCTGCCAGCTGGGCACGCAGAGCAAGTAGGTCAAGAGCATCACTCCTCACAAAGAGTTTTCTCTGCTAAATATTGTGCTAATGACTGCATTATTGCTCATCAGACCGAGGTTCTGAAACTGGTGTTACAAAACCTTTCCTGTGATATGCAGAGGTCAGGTTTTTCCATCTTGAGATGTTTCAGGTTGAGCAAAACCATTCATTTCTGATAAAATGCATTTTGATATTAAAATCTGCACTCAGGCCTGTCCTGATTGCACAGAGCAGCTTTCACCGGAACAGCTATTACAGCTGAGGAAAACCAAACAATTGAAACACATAAATTAGGCATTTACAGTTTAAAAACTCTAGTGGAGATTGAACAGACTTACTCTAAAGAATTCTTTGGTTGAACCTGAATCCAGAGTGCCATAGGCTATTTCGGTTTGTTTAGCCAGGTCCTCTGCGCTCTCTATGGGTGAAACCATCCTTTCCACCGTGAGGAAGGCAGCGAGATTAGCAGTGTAGGAAGAGATAATGATGAGAGTGAAGAACCACCAGACTCCTCCGACAATTCGCCCTGAGAGAGATCTATGGAAAAACACACATCATCAAATTGCTGTGAAGACATTCCTTGATTTTTTTTCTTCTTCACTGAAGAGAAATTCACATGCACAACCCTTTTGTCCAGATCCTCCAGGTATCTGTGAGCAGGTGGACTGTGAGCCAGCTCCTGAGAGCCTTTATCAGCAGCAGAGAAAACTCGAGCACATCTGGTCTTACCTAATGAAAATCCCTTTGCCTTTCAGTGAAAACAAGAACAGTCAATTAAGAAATACTTCATTTGAGGCTTGGAGAGGAACAAGCTCTCCTGACCTCCACAAATACTTTGCTGGAGAAGGCTTTTGCCACAAGACCTTTGTCTTCTCCATGTACCCACCCTTCCCTGCGCTGGAATTGCCTGCTGTGATATGCTGGCATTGAGTCTCTTTGGGGGAGCCCAGCTGGGAGGACACAAATGCACCTTTTACTGCATCAACTTCCAAAATGTAAGATACAGTAAATGGCAAAAAGGAATCTCAGCAAACATGGAAAGGAATACACCAAAAACGATGCAATATCCTTCTCTCATCACAACCAAGCAGGAATTACAGACTGAATCTGCATATTGAAGTGAGGAGAGAGGCTGGCTTGGTTTATGTTTTATGTTAATTAAAATTTGCATGTTGCACTGTTCCAAGTCAAGCATATTCTTGCTTTATAACCACCAGAGCAATTGAGAAGGAAATAGAAAAAAAATTAACTGTGGTTTGGTTTTTTTGAGGTTTTTGTTTTTTAAAGGGATCCAATAAGGACTAAAAAAAAAAAGCCTATCTGCAAACATATAATAAAAAAATTCCTAATGGTCAGGAGGTCTAGATCCTGTCAGTAAGAGCTCCTGATGCTTTATAGCAATTGAACATCAGGCTCAAAGTATTTGTCCTGGGCTAAAGGATGCCAGTGCCACGTCACTCAGCTGGGTGGGGAATTTCTCTGCCATGTTCAGTGCTCCTTCTTCAAACAGCGTGTTGACCAAGAATCATTTCAGGTGCTGAGACAAAGCTATTTCATATGTTTTCCCTTCGCTCTACAGATACCAGTGAAGAAATAATCCCAGACACACAGGTGGAACCTGGGTGGTGTAGTCCTCAGTTTGTGTGAAGAGAAGAAGTAAAAATCAAGAAAACTCTTACCTGATAATTTGTTTCCTTCAAACCCCTCAGTGCCATCCCCAGACAGTGGGTACAAGTTGTCCTACCAACAGATGGAGGTAGGCAAAAAGCAAAAGTCTCGTGACGTGCCCCCACCCCACCCATATAGGGGGGTTTGCTGGTAAACTGCCCAGTCTTAGCCAGAGCCTGAGATTGCCTGAGCCATTAAAAAAAAGCCATTAAATTATTAAGAAATAAAAGAAAGAAAAAAAATTATCCATCCAACATTAAAGAACATACCAAAGGAAAAAAATCACCAACACAATAAAAACAGAGAAATCAATCTGGAATAGGAGAGAGTAATGTGGAGAAAAAACACCGAGGTGAAGCACTGCTGTTCTCCACTCTCCTCTGCCCAAGGAGCTGGAGCAGCAGCTCCCACCAAGAGGGCCAATGCAGGCTGGTTCCTCAGGGCAGGTACACACCCACCGGATCACCCACAATCAGAAGAGGCTTCCCTGCCTTTCTTGAGGGCCCCCAGGAGGATAAAAGGCTTCCAAGTTTCAACTTGGGCTGTGCAACCACTGTGCTCACTAACAGAAGGCTACTGAGTGGCTGCAGAGGGAATTTGCAGAAATATAAATACAGAATAATGCATGAAGTCATGGAATCTCTCCACCTCTCTACATTCTTTGCAGGCATCAGCAGAATATCTGGGATTTTACAGATGGCTCAAGTCCTTTCTGGCCAGTTCCCTTACCAGGAAGGGTCTTGGCTTTAGCTATTTAGTACAACTTGATACCCTACACACTGAATCAGCCTCTTACATGAGCTAACACAATTTTAGCCAACTACAAAGCAGCACCTGCTGCCATGTAAGGCTTCCTTTGGAGCCAAGGGAGAGAAAGAGAGGAGACAGACAGACTTAGAAAGAGACTTATCTCATTTGCTGTAGTGTGGGATAAATCTAAAGTCATTGGTCTCCTGACTTTGGAGGGAACCAAGATGCCTCACTAAAAATCAGTCTATTGCTGTCAGATGGCTACATCAGGTGAAACTCATCTTACTTTTGCTCCTCCCTTCGCTACCTACTTTCTGCCTTCAGAGAAGATAATTTGAGCCAGACTGAGCAGAGGTTTTGGGTAGCAGGTACAGCAGATGAAACATCCACTTGCCTACAGCAGAACTAGCTCTATCTGGAGTTTCCAGGTTCTCTTGGCCCTGCTGCTTTAAGGTAGCCCTTGAAAAAGGAAGACGAAAAAAAGACTTGCCAGAGTGTTCTGATAAACTCAGTGGAAGCATTGGGAATAAAATAATGTGTTCATTCTCCTTGTTGTTTCCCACAGGAAATTTCTTACTTGCATTGGCAGCTGCCTGTTCTGTTAGCAGGACAGATGGGCTGCTGGGATGGAGATGTGCAGAAGACAAGCATTTTCCAAACCAGTGAAACATCAAGCTCACACTGCTGCAACAACAAAAACTGTGCTGGGCTGCATGTTCAGCCAGCACCCAACACACCAAGAAAGGTAAAAATATCTCATCCCAGAGATCTTGCAACCTGAATGAACCAAATCAGACAGATACAGGACAAAAACTGGGGACCAGCTGAGAGGCAAGGGAAGGGGGGCATGAGGGGATCCCTTGATGAAGAAGGCACTTCCTCAGGGGTCCTATATGCAAGAGAGGGGGCTTGCTAGAAGAGGACAAGAGCTGTTTTCAGAAGAGTTGAGGTCACTTGAAAGAAAAATGGATGTCACCAAAGTTGTTTCTCCCAGAGTCTTCCCATGAGCACAGGAAGGAAGATTAAACAGCGGCTACTACGAAGCAGTCTGGGCTGACCTGGTTGTTACTGGTGGGAGTACAGGATGGGGCAAAAGAAAAACTAAATAAAACACAAAGCTGACACTGGAGGAAAGACAGACAGACAGAGTTGAAGAACAAGGACACGGACAAGCATGGCTTGGCAGCCTCCTTGCCCAAAAGACCCCAGTTCCCCCCAGGTCATCTGCTGATATGAAGACTCCTTATACCCACTGCAGGGGCTGGTGTGGAGGGAGGCAGGAGGAAAAGGGTTAGCACATGAACACCAGGCTGGTAATCAAAGAATAACCATATGGCTTGTACTGTGACCCACAGAAATGTTTGTCCACTACTCAGATAATTATAGAAAAATCAATCACAGCTTTAAATACCAGCATCATTTTTTCTGATGAAAACATACCTGTCCACATGAGTAGTGTTGTTATTTAAAACCAAAACAACTAATGCTTTATCCCAACATGTAGTTTTCCCAATCCCCTCAGTAAGTAGATACTTTGTATGACATTATTTTAAAGCGAATTAGAGTGCTAAAAAATGAGAGTAGCAACACAGCCCTGCAATAATACAATTATAACTCAACAGTCAAAACAAAATCAGATGGTGTTTTCAAAAGCAAGGAAGAGTGCATACCTTGAGAGGAAATTTAAAAGGAAGCATGGAGTCAAATGAGAGCAAATTAGTAACAAGAGAAAAAACAAAATAAATATTCAAATTCACATTCAGTTTCCAGGAGAATAATACATTCAAACAAAACCTCATTTATCAAGATAGCTTGAATTTTGTTTCTGCTCATGGCCATAAAACATATTTGATTTCCTATAGTACACAGAAATAATAAGCTTCTCACAACTACTCAATTTTTAATTGGGCTGTTTTGATCGATACAAGATGGTTGCTGTGCTGACAAATAACCCTGAACAACTTTGGTGCAAACTCTGCTAGTCTAGAAGCCCTTGATATTCTGAGCACACGTTACCTGCGGGCCCAGCCCCTCTCTCGCTCACCCAGCCAGCCCTCGCTCAGCTACAGGGACACAACACAGTCAACAACAGCATCTGAAGCACCGGCTTGAGATGCTTCCATCATAGGAATGGCAGTGGGAGTTTCAGAAATCTCTAGTCACCTGGCTCTCATTGCTACTGTGAAAGTCCCACAAAGTCATTCCCATGGCCTTTAATAGGAGTCTCCTGAGTCTCCCGATGTTAAAACAGGGACCTAGAAATACACCCTCGAAATGACCAACCTCTCGAGACAGTTTTTAATGAACACCCTGTCTTTTTCCATCAGCAATTAATTAATCTAGCCTCTTTGTTCTACATGAATAAAGAGCAAAATGAAAATACATGCTCTCATATATTTCAGAGATTTCAAAGATACAGTCACTCAAAACAGTGTTACAGATTCGACCGTGTTTTTTCCTGATTCCATTTGCTGTACACATCTCACATAAAAGCAAGTTTAATAATGTACTTTTGATCCATCAAAAGTGAATTTTCAATGCTTTAGCTCACTATGCAGAAAACACAGCAGCCTTTGATAGCAGAACAAAACTGCTGAAATAAGTGTTGATTCCATCAAGGGATGCACTAACCCCCACCCTTCGGCTGCTCTCGGATTCTGTTTAGACGACTCCTATTAAATACAGAGAGGAGAGTATAGGGATATATCCTCTGGAATATCCACACAGCATACTCACCGAGGATAGATCTAACTAGTCATTAGATGTCACAGCTGTTCCACACAAAGGCAGCTGAAAGAGCCTTTATCAGCAAGTACAAAAGTGATCTCTCCAGACTGCTTGTCGGCATCTCTCTACAAGTGCTGCATGCTCTCATATAAGAAATTTATTCAGACAAAACTCACAATGGAAGAATGAAGCCCCTTTTAATGGCAATAAAATAGTATGAAACATTCATATAGTCAATGTACTGTGAATGGCGTAACCTTACAAAGATACGGATTAAGAATGGAATACTTGGGAATAGTCCCTTCTACGGAAAAGAAATTTGACATTTTAATCAACTTAAATCAACATATAGGTCAAAGGAATAGTGTTTCTGGAATTTAAACCCAAGTATTAAATTTGTCTTTCTTTTCAGTAACAATGCACGTAACTGCCTGGAATGTTATCATAGAAGATAACAAAAGAACTGCACAGCGTCTTCAAACAAGGGTTATATATTATTACTGAGCTAATAGCTTCTGATGGACAGTTAAAATAAATGGGTATACTGCTGTCTCTTTTCTTTATTGTAGGTATATCCAAGGCACTTCTGATGGTACTACTGAGAAAAAAACCAGACTGTGTTCCTCTTGTTATATAAGGGAAATGGCTGAACATACCAAAGAGTCACATGAGAGCTTAACAAAAATCCTATGCACGTCTATTTAACTGTCAATAACCAGACCTAGCGGAAACAGTGCCATGCCTGCAGCTTTCCATGTGATGTCCCAGTGCTTATTTCCCGGTCTTTTATGTTGGGCAAACACATGGTCAACAGCAATTTAAATGTTATCACTGCTCATCCCCTTCAACAGCAAGCAGCAAGGCAAAGTTTCAGTGGAGAACTGAGGCACAAAGCAGAAACACGGAGTGTAAACAGGAGGAACAGGCTGTAACTACACAGGGAGGCAGCACACCCAGCCACAGGGAACTGGGAACACTGACACGTGGTCACAGCCAGGGCAAAACGTGTGTGTGTTACAGAGGGTACACAGGCATTCTTGGTACCTATGAAGTACAATTGCTGCTGTCAAGACTTTTAAAACGTGGGTGTGACTTGCATCAAATATCACCAGGCACACGCCAGTAACTCCCAGCGTCCTGGATCTCACTGCCATCAGAAGGACATTTGAATATGCAATGACTGTGAATTTATAGGATCATTGTTACACTGTAACAGGTGAAATCATGATCTTTCCCATGAAACTTCACAGAAGTTTTGTTGCTTGTTTCATGGGGGCTACTCAAGATCCCCACTGCTCTACGGACCAGGAAAACCTGGCGACTTTTCTGTGACTCAGGTATTGAAAAAGGTAACAAATGTGGAGATCAAGAAGGTGCATTTCAAATGTCGGTGCTTAGAAAAGATCTGCCTCTCTTCCTCTAAATAGCAACCTTGTTAAATGGAAAAACTGCATCCTGTTTGTACTAAGCAGGTATTTGGAATAATTAAAATAGCTGTAAACTGATTATTAGATTATTGTCACACAAAATGTAATTAGTGCTCCATCACTAAGAAACTAGGTAATTTTACTGCTTATCACAAGCACATCACTAAAGCATTTTACCAGTGTAAATGTAAAAACATAATATATATTATTCAAAAAACATCTGTGGTGTGCACTGTTCAGTCAGAGGGAACTTGACTATTCTCAGCTGGTTTTTAAAATACTTCTTTAAAACAGAAATTAAGTCTACAGTTGTTAATAGCACTGCTCTCTGTTCCATTGGAACTAATGTCAAACATACTTTACTACAGCCTTATCCACAAAGACTGTTTTCATGAGTAAGAAATACCTTTATGGAAACTGGCAATGCTTATCAGACCATATTGACTATGAACAGAGGGACAACAGATTAGACTGGACTGAAATAACAATACACATACAAGGCAGTAACACAGTACACAGAGACCCCAACATATGCAAAAATGTGGTGGAAAGCAAATTACTAATAGATGAAAGGATGGTTCAAGAAAAACAAAACCAGAGAAATCAGGCTCAAAAGAAAGTAAAAACACTAGCAGGAGCCTTAATGGGAGTGGAGATGCTTTAAAATGCTGTTGCATGTGACTTTTAAAAATAAATAGTTCTTATTTTGCAAAGCAGAATGTGTTTTATGCACCAAGAAGATGACCGTAAAATGAGATATGCAGCAAAAACACGGTAGCCCTCCAAGCATCGCTGAAAACAGAAAACCCTATGCATTTTACAGCCTTCACATGGTGAATATAAGTTTGGCAGAAATGCATAAATGGCATTATAAGCAATGCTACTCACTCTGGAGGTGAATGTTAGCAAGCATGGTGGCTTGATGATGATGCTGAACGTTGAATGGAATCTCAAAATAAAAAATTTGGAATTAAAAAAGAAATTTGAAAAAGAAACATATATGCACCATGGCATCAGAAAATGACCATAAAATGCAAAAAGGTGATGGAGTGACATGGAACAAACCTTGGAGAAATATCGCATCCTTGCTGCATAAAGGCACCCAGGGAAAACCAAAGGCTGTTAAATATTCCAAACTCATTTGGAGGGTCAGGAGGATTCTGAGGGTCACGTGGTTCTTCAGTGCTGTCTTCCAAGTGCCATTCATAAGGGCTGAATCTGCTGACTAGGAAAAGAACTACGCTGACGCCAATGTAAGCAAAGACTATACACATCCAAATTTCATAAGCCAAAGGATCCAGGAAAGAGAACACGCCCGGTTTAGATTTCTGAGGCTTCTTGATCATGATGGAGATGCCCAGGCTCATAAAGGGTTTGGAAAAGTCTATGACTTCTTCTCGCACCAATGTTATGGTGAGGGGGGCAACAGCTATATCTGCTCTCTGAAAAGGGAAAACAAACACAAGTTAGTTACAAATCAGACACAACAGAAGCACAATCTAGAATGTCAGGCTAATGAATCAGATGATAAATTGCAAGAGTGAATGGAAACACTCTTTGCAGCCTATTTGCAGTCACTGAAGTTAAGGGCTACACGATATTAATAGACAATTATTAACAAGAAAAATTACAATCAAATCTGTGCAAGGTGCTCATGACAGAGGCAGATATTTCTATTAATTTAAAAGGGATGAATAAACATTACACAAACTGGACAGTGAGATGGCAACTAGAACAATGTGATTTTCTAGTATCTGTCTGCATCTACCCATTTGTCTTGAAGACTTTGGGCTAATTACGTTTTCTATGTTTTAATTTTCTCTTTTCCATTCTTTCAGCAAGTTCTCTTGCCTACTGATTACTCTAGGATCTTTAAAATGAATCTGTGAGAAGTAGTTAGTCACTGAATTTCAGCTGCATTTGGGTACTGCTACTTGAAACTCCACTGAAATAAAGGACAGGAGATGGTAAATAGTGGGGGATAGGAACAATCAGCCCACCCTTTCTGCGCTCACTGGAGGACAGTAACATAGATTTGTGAATCCCTGAGGACTAAATAGCCTGGGTAATCTGAGAAGAATGCAAAGCAGTGTTTTTCAGTCTCCTATGTGCCCTCCTGTTATACAGGACTTGCCTCTGCAGCCCTACAACACAGACTGTGCTCTGGGGCTGTGCCATCTGGAAGCACAATCGCATCTATGGCACGTGTCATTCACCAGCACATGGCATCCCCTGAACCAATATCCTTCCCTTCAATCAATACACCCTTGCTGGATTCCATGGTAGGGTAGGAATGAGAAAACAAATTGGTTTCCTTTAAAAATAACATTCCAGAATAGATTTTCAACATGTTTAACTGTATCTGTATGTCTGTTCAAGAAAGACTCAAGTCATGCTGTTTAAATAACCTAGCAGGTGTCAGCACTTGCATCAGAGGGGAATAGAATGTTTAAAAAAGGAGCCTTTTTCATTTAAAAGTTATTGTTATGAGATTCTACATACCTACATACATTTTTTTGTGATCTATTTTAAACACTCTATACTATTCATGTTGTACTTTCATTGGTAATTATGGATTTCAGAAAGAAAAAATTATTCTTAGGGAAAGCTCAACTTACCAGTACCTAAACCACTGTGCACCTTTTAAATCTGATATTTTTTCCCCCCCGCCCTGTTAACTATGTATCTCTTTCTGGTGGAAAAATAAAGCCTGATTAAGTAGAAGTTTGAATACAAGTTCATGGGAAACATTAAAAGGAAGTGATTAAAATCTGTGCCATAAAATAATTGATATGCCTTTATGTAAATCTAATGGTGATGTACTTGACTGTCATTAATGCCTGGTTTGCTCCTCTTCCTAGATAGTTGGTTTGGGTTTTCTTTTTAAGTTTAATAAGCAGAAATGGTGAAGGCTTCTGCTAAGGCTGATCTCAGCATCGTGGGCTCTGTGCCCGCTGGTGCCTTGGCAGCACCGAGCAGCCGTGCCCTGGGCACTGGCTCGGGCTTCGCTGACCGAGGCTTTGGCAGCCCTGTCAGATGAGCACTGGCCCTCCCCACAAGAAGCCTCCCTCCACAGGGCACTGTCTGCACACACAACCTCTGGGTTTCCTCCAGCCACTCAGGAATATCTCTCGGCAGTTTATACCGGCATGTGCAACTACAAGGTATGTGCACAAGCTCACTGCTTGGAATAATCAGATAAACCATATACACGTAAGGAAGCCACTCGGAAACCATGGCCCTGGGTGCCTCCTCTGACAGCCCTGCTCAGCCCCTTTAGACAGTCACGCGTACTGGGACACTGCCTTTCCCCTTGAGTGACCCTTTCCCCAAGGAGAAAACCCTCAGCTACGTGGTCACTTACTGCAAAAATCGAGCTTAATGTGGCTTGAATACAAAACCTGAAAGTGCCCTGGGATGCCTGGGTGTTCACTGGCTTTGTGGATGAATGTGTTCATCACCTAAGTAATGGAGAGACTGAGGGGGGGAACATGGATAGAGTGAGGTAAAAGGACTGGATGAGGTTGGAACTTTTTCACTGAAGAATTCCACCAAAACATATATTTGTCTTCCAGCTGCTGCTCGTTGAGCTACTGTTAAATATTAGATGTCTGCAGTCAGTATGAGATGCACACAGAATAGCAGTTTTAAATGCAGTCAGAGTCCACAGCTGGCTGGAAGACTAAGCACTTTGACCATGGCCACTGCACTTCATACTGAACTAATGAGGTACTTACAAATTAATCCTTATTAGAGAAAGTTTAATGGATCGGGACCCCTGCAGAGACTTAGCAATGCCTCCATGCGAATTGAAGTGTAGGTGGGAGGCAGGTGTCTTACTGCCTGGCACTTCTGCACATGGACTGCCAGCCTTGGAACACCTCATCAAGGAAGGAAAAGGCTGGTTCAGCTATAAGAGCATTTAGTTTCTGGAGCGTTTTCCCAGACTTGGAGAAATTTAATTCTCCCAAAGTAATATTTTAATTGCCAAAGTAGACACGGTGGAGCTCTTCCTAAGTGCTGATGCAGCATGCAATAAGGTCTGTATCTCCTTCATGCCCAGCTGAGTTCATGTAGGATGTTCCTGTGGGACTTTGGGGGATGAAGCTGATGCTGTGCTGAAGCACAGACAAATCACTTTTTAAAGGCCTCAATTGTTACCATGTCCTCATTCATATCATACAGTACAGACTTGCACTGTAAACAATTTCAAATTGCATTTTACACATTACAAGGGATACAAACATTTATCTTTCTGATATGTTTCAGTCTTCCTCCTTTCCTATTGTTCCTACCAAACGAGTTCACTGTATTGGAAACACCAGCAAACACCCTCACCCCTAAATGAACATGGCAGCAATTGGTTTCTGCAGAGGGAACAAGCATCAGTTCACATGCAGGGTCTCAGGAAACCATCAGCAACCAGAGCACTGAGGGTGGACCATATCTACTCACAGACCAGCTACAATCCAGCACCCAAGCCTGGTTGCCCACCACTTCCCTGAATATTAGTTGCATTAGGGAGGTTAAAAGCCAGTTTGCTCTTTGCTTATTTATTTAGAGATACAGTATTTGAAATGGAGAGCTTATGGAGAGCTCTAAGCACCCTAAAGGATCATTAATAACTGCAGCACTCTTGAGAATTTCCCTCCCTGTTATGGCTGCAGATAAGCAGAACCCCATACAAATTGAGCTCGATTAAAAAGAACACAACCACAAACATGTCCCTCTCTGTGCAGAACTGGAGGGGGTTTAAGAACCTCAACAACTAAGCTTTGCTAATCACTCATGACTAATGGCGTTTCAAACATCATCTTCACTGCATTTGAGCTGGGCGAGAAATGTCATGGATTCCTCTGAGGCTTGTTCTGTCTTTGCCTACTAGTGTGGGAGGGATGGATTTAGAGAGGACATGGAGCACAGAGGCGCTGCCCACTCTGCTCAAAGCTGACCCCAGGGAGCTGCAAACCTCAAGACTCTTATGGGGAAGGAGAAAAAATAGCAAATGGAAATACCCTTCTGTGTGGAAAAAGAAAAATGATAAGATGTTCCACCTCTGTAATCCAAAAGGAGGGATGGAATTCTTCTGCTTACAGATGACTCTCTCTAACTTCAAAGCTATGCACTAGAGACAGCAAGAGATTCAGGCTATGCTCCTGCCTGCACATGCTTTGGGTCATTCCTGCCTGCAGAACTGAACAACTCCTTTGCTCCTGTGTCAGTTTGTAAGAAGTGGGTCTGGGCTACAGTCACTTTGCAAGACCTCTGTGTGAGAGGAAGCAAGGCAGCACTCTATGAGCAGACTGAAGCAGAGACACTGTCTGACTTCCACTGGCAGCCAAACATCTGGGCACCCCAAAAGTGCTGAACACAGGTACACTGAGGCATCAGAAGAGGCTGTGCTGGAACAGCGACTGCCTCTGAACATGTTTTAAGACTTCTCAGTGCAGTCTGAGGTTTCCAGGTATCAGAAAAGAGTGTCAGACAGAGCAACACATCACCTGTGGTATCTGCTGGCAAAAGCTAACTTTGTAAAGACAGTCCAGTATCCCCCAGGATATTCAGGGTGTGTTGAGAGGCCAGGTCATGGGGGCAGTGTGTTTTTAACACACTAGCTCACACTTATTTAAAACCAACAGCTGATATCTGACTAGGACCATGCTGTGCATTGAAGTCTTAATGTGTACTAGCTGAGCAGTGTAAAAAGGTATTAAGGTGTTAAAAGGGCAGTTGGCCTTGTCTGCTGCAGTTTGTCAATGTTAAGTCCATTCGTGCTTTCTGTGGATGCCCACAGCTCTTTCTGACACAGTACTGCCATACACAGATGGAGACATACAGGGTACATCTGCTTTTGGAGCTGTGGACATATCTGTGCTTCCTGTGTCTGTGCTGAGACCCAGGTCAGCCAGATCGGGGCCCACAGCAGTGTGGCTCTGTGCCAGGGCTGCAATCCCATCCCATCCCATCCCATCCCTCCTCCATGTGGCAGTGCCACCACAGCTCAGCCTGGGCAGGGACCCCACAGCTGTCCATGTGGGTACAGGATGAGGATCTGCCTGAGTCACTGCCTTTGGGAACCTGTACCTGGGCTGCCCCCCCCTCACAGACACCAGGGGTGAGGAGGGAATGGCAAACTTCACCCACCCACTCACGGCACTGTCAGGCTCTGCCACGGACTAAGAGCACATGGGACACTTTGAGAAGAACTTATAATTGAGTTAGTCTTCCTCTCTCCTACCATTCAAGGGGTGTAGGTGCCATCTGTAGCACTTCCACTGCTGGGAGAGCCCAGGAGGCCAGCACCACACGAGGCTGGTTAGTCTGCTAAAGGCAGGGAGATGCGTTGGTGGTCCCATTCTGACAGACTGCTGCGTTCCAGAGACTCCCTGTCCTTTACATCCCTGCTTCATTCCTTTGTGCTATTTTACATACTGAAAGGTTTTTACAAAGACCTTTTTAACCTGAGAAGAGTTTTAAAGGCTGGAAGTTCTGGCTGCTCTTTTCATTCCCAAAGCATTTGTAGTTACAATTAAGATCTGTGTTAAACCTACTGTCAATTAGCCTCAGCGCTGTGAAAAGCACCAGGGCCGGGGAGGGACGGCTTTCCCTGGCTGAACGGGGAAGGAAGAACAGCAGCCTGCTTTAAAAGGGAGAGAAGAAATAAAAGCCTACAGAAAGAGGCTGACCCTACAGAAGAGAAAAGACGACTGTCTAGTGCTCAGCAGCTGGTGGGTACAAAGCCCCGAGCATCGGCCTCATGGGGCCCGTGCTGAGGGAGGTGCTGCTGCTCCACAGCCCCAGTGGAGGGCACGTCCTCAGCCCCTGGGTCACTGGAGGACAGCACTTGCCCTGCTGGATTGCTCTGCTGGTTAGGTTTAAACAGTGATTCAGTCTCCTGGTCTGAGAATGATTTAGCTACTTTCCCTCATCTGAAACGTCCGGGGAAAAAAAGCTCTGCCTGTTTTCTATTTTTATTCTGTCAAAAGTTCCCACTATGCTTTAGAAATTGCTCTTAGTTTAAAAAAATAATAGCGCTCGAATTGGTAGTTTTTTTTCTGGTAGGATGAAGCCTTATTTTGATACCATCAGAATGAAAGAGCAAAATTAAGGGGTTTTTTTCAACCTGAATTGACACTTTTAGAGTTATGAAAAATCAAATGAATTTTATTTGATCTCAAATTTCATTATCATTATTAATTATTATTACTATTACCATTACTACTCCTACTACTATTACTGACACTTAAAAATTGCTAATAAACCACAAAGCCCCGTTAGCTCCTCTCTAACAAGACTTCTGGATTCTCCTGCCTGAAGCAAGGGAGTTTGGGAATATCTGCTCAGGCAGAACTCCCTGCCTCCAGGGCTCCCATCCCTCTGTAACCAGGTGTATTGGTACAGGCCCTTGCAAAGCTGCAAGGAAAGTACCAAAGGGGAGAGCTGAGGTTGTCCTTGACTTCAGAGACCCTACGGCACAGCAGACTTTTACACCCTCCAACCAGCCCTGACGTGATGTGAAACAGGAGGGAGAATTTCTAATGGGAACTGTTTTAGTGGGTAAATGGCAATGTGTAACTCCCAGGACTGTTGCAGTTAGCCTAGTTAATGCTGACCTCTGGCTGGTCTTACCCTGGAGTCAGGGCTGTGCTGGGCAGCCTCAGGACCTGCAGCACAGTGACACAGCACCCCTGTTGCTCTGGGTACAGCTCAGTGCAGACTGAGCCCCCTCTCATCCCACCCATCCCTCTGCTCCTTGACATTCCCAGCCCTCCAACGCAGTGGGCTGGAGGCTGCCTATTCTCTCCTGGCTCTGTGCTGCATTCCACAGGAAGCAGGAGCGACAGTAACAATGAACTGGCACAAACCAAACATTAAATATAGTTAATTAGGGTTTTGACATTAAAATGACAAGCCATTCACTTCCTATGACTGTCCTAAGAGCAATTTTAGAAAAGAGTTGCATGTGTGGGGCTATGCGAAAAAAGGGCACAGTATTCAAAAAGCCAGGAGAGACGCCCCAGCAGTGCCAGGTGGTGGTGAGGAGGCTGCTGGGTCAGGAATACACTGTATTTGACAAATGACTCGTCCCTGTTTATTACGTGAGACAAATGCAATCTAAAGGATTGTGTTTCTGCCACAGCTCAACTCAGCTGTTGGATAACTGGTACCAAAACCAATCAGGTCCCTTTTATCCCCCCAAGTCTGTCTTCCATACATGCTAATAAAGATACTTAAAATCTAATCTCCTTCTTGTCTTCCCAAAATGGAATCCAGAGGAGCCAAATTTGACAGTCATTTTGCTGGCAAGGCTCACAGGGGCATTAGAGTAACGTACAGTTTTAGTTCCCTAATAGAGTTTTAAGCCCCTGAGAGATAAAGGAAAGTCAGTACGTAAATGAGGCGTTTGGTCCAAATAATTAGCACTTCTAGAGCATTTCTCATCTTCAAGGGGCTTAGTGCACATCCTTGTGAGTGTGGTACACAGCCCCCCTCTCAACAGATGGAGGAAGAGGCCAAGGGCATTTCACGATGTTTGCAAATAGAGCTGGGGAAAGATCTGGAGGGCTGCTGAGGTTTGTACTCAGGGTTCATGGGCTGTTTCCCCTGCTCACAGAAAGCCAGGTGGATTTCCATGCAGCTTGCCAGTCAGTTCAGCTTGGCAGGCCAGGGAGCTGGCTCAGCAGAGCAGGGCTGTAAGAATTAACCTGGGCCTGCACTCAAACCTCATGGGATGACTCTGACCTTTGAATAATTGAGCACTGCAGTGAAGAGGCTTCAGTAACAGAGCTCACAGCTTGAGTACAGGAGCTGTTGGGGGTCAGGGAGGAAAACATTCCTCAATTTTTCATTAACAAGAAAGCACAGATGAAGACTGTGCTCAGAATAGATAAGAACAGACCTTTTTGCAGGGGAAAATGAGCATGGTGGGGTGGGCTTGAGGTTGTTCTAAGCTATGGTCTGTGGTGCCTGCAGGGCTGGTCTTTGCTGGTGTGGAAAGGTCACAAGAATGGTTGGTCATAGGGACGTGGACAGGGCTAAGTTTGATGCTAAGGAGGCAGAGCTCTCTGAGCAAGGCTCGTCCCAAAGGGGTTGTGGAAAAGGCAGCTGCAGACAACCTGTTTATCACAGAATTGTTTGGGTTGAAAGGGACCTTTGAAGATTATCTAGTCCAACCTCCCTGCAATGAGCAGGGACATATTCCATGAGATCAGGTTGCTCAGAGCCCTGTCCAGCCTGCCTTTGAATGTTTTGAAGGATGGGGCATCCACTGCCTCTCTGGGTAACCTGTGCCAGCTCCTTGGCACCCTCACAGTAAAGACTTTCTTCCTAATATCTAATCTGAATCTACCTTCTTTCAGTCTAAAGGCATTTCTTACTGTCCCATCACTAGACACTCCTGTAAAAAGTCCCTCTCCAGCTCTCTTGTAGCCCCTTTAGATACTGGAATGTGCTCTAAGCTCTCTCTGGAGCCTTTACTTCTCCAAGTTGAACTCAGCCTTTTCTCACAGGAGAGGTGCTCCACCCCTCTGAGTATTTCTGTAGCCCTTTATCCTGATGGATCTTACATAGCACAGCAGCTGCACGGGCTCCTCTTACTTGGCTCAAGTCCCAACAGCAGCTGCCCACACCACACCTTTCCTCCTCTCGTGTGGACAGTCCCTGTGCCTGACTGATAGCAGCACGTTCAGGTTCTCTTCTGCCCTGCTTCTTGCCTACGGTATGATTATTTTTTTAAGTGAATAAACTGCTTGTCACTCTAGAGTAGATCAAAAGGACCCAATTACAGCTGATATTCTTGATATTTCTTGAACCACACACAGAGAAACCGAGGGTTTAGGTTTCCAGTGCAATGTAATTTGCTCAGAACTAAATTAAACCTTTGCTTCAGAGGTCCTCAACGGACTTGTGTTCTCTAACAGAGCGAACATCAGTCTCCCATCAGTCTCCCAAGGTGCATAACTGAGGCATGGGGAGTTCAGAAGGTTTGCTTAAGGTCAAACCTCAATGCAACAGGGAAGCAAAGATGTAAAGCCCCCTGTTTACTTTCCCTCATCAGTCCATTTCCTATCCTGCCATAATATGATACCACAAAAACATTTTTATTTTTATGAAATACTGTGAGGTTGAAGAGACTACCACATATATAATAAGGCATCAGGACTGACTGCTCCAGAGTAAGAAAACTTTTGCAAATCTAGCAATTATTTTAAAAAGACTGCTTCATTTGAAAAGAATTATCTCACCAAACATTTTGCAAGAATGATGATGTATTATCCCAAGGAAATTTTGAGGTGACTTTTAGAAATTACACTCAGCCACAGAACAAAAGGAAGCAATTGAAATATTCGCTTCTGCTCAGATATTTTTAATAGAGGAAAGCTTGTTAAAAATAAACTGTAAAAAAGATTTGGGCGGAATCACAAATCATCTCATTAGCATTTGGGGCAAAAAAAAAAAAAGCAAAGATGAAATATCAGCTTGAAAAGTCTTTTCTGCAGAGCCAATTTTCTCCCCCCTTCCATCTGGTTTATCTGTATTCCAAAATTCTCATTTTCAAAGAAGTTTCTAAAACGGCAATTCCGGACTGTTTTTGTTCTTACTAAACAAAGCAATGTACACCCAATATAGAAATATAAAGAGGAATGCAATGAATTAGGCTTTTTTTTTTTTTTTTTGTCTGCCAGTTGATTTTTAAAACCAAACCAAGGTTTTAAAAAGAAAAAAGATAAAAACCACCTTGGGGTTAACTGAGTCTTTAGTCTCTGGTCAAACACAAACCAGCATCAGTGACCCAAAGAGGGCCAGACTCACAGATGAGACTTTTAATGGGAGGGCCACCCTCCCAGCACTTAGGAGACTGATAAAGAAAAAGGAGATGTGGCATGTGAAGAAGCAGAATACGAAGGGCAAACTGGAAATTCTGCTTTAAACAAGAATTTGAAATTTGCCCAGTGCTACTTCTCAACATTTTGTGGACTCTTGATTTGGAGAATGGCAGAAAAAAAAAGTGACACTTTTTCCTGCAATGAAACGATTAGAAAAGCAGACTATAAAAAGAAATTTCTACAAAGAAATATCTAGAATTTTAAAGGTAGTATTCAAACAGATGATCTTTATTTTGCAGTTTATTAACTTTGAGCATAACTTTTTATAAAGAACATTAAAATGAAGGTTAAGAGAAACTTACCCCATAGACCAGTTCACCCACCATGCCATTCCATATCTTAGTCTCAGGGTCCCTAGCTCCATATTTCCCATCTCCAACAATTGACAGTTTGTATTTTATTCCAACATGTTTTGCTATTTCAGAAGCTAAGTCTACACAATATCCTTCATATCTCTCATTCCCTTCTAGTTGTTCATGGTTTTTCTTATACATTACATATGGTGATTCCTTTGAAACAAAAGTAAAGATCAAAAGTCTATGAATGTAAAATACAGCTGTAAACCACACACAATGAGAGTTGTTATTATCCTTTATATTACTGGCAAGTATTTACAATATTTCCTGCTTTGGTACAAAAATTAGAAAGACAGACTTCTGCAGTTTAAAAATCCTTGGCTGATCCTACAGCCACAAATATTATGGATTGCATTCCTAGTATGAACCCATTGAAGACAGCAGGATTTTTAAACACAGTTACACTTCTGTTTGCAGGAGCAGGCCTGATCAGGCAGTCAAATAGCATCACTGCAGTAATAATTCAGGTTTTAGTGTTTAAGGACTGACATACCCACCACCTGTACCATCAACATAATTTTCTAGGGCCCCAGTGATCTAGAATGGGGCTCTGATGGAGGTATTTCCAAAGCAGCCTAAGGGAATCTAGGCTAAAATCCTCAGCAGAATTTTTTTGTCACTAAATTCCCTTAGCCTTCTTGGAAAATTCTAGCTGAAATGCTGGTTACATCTCGCTAAATCCATAGGAGTATAAAACACAATGCTTCAGGAAATAGCATAAAATTGGCTCATGCTTAGCAGAACTGTCACAGGCACAAAAGTCACAATGAATACTGTACAGAGCAGGTCTGTAGAGGCGTTGGGAGGTCCTGCTGCTCGTGAGACACAGGAAGAGCTTTGCTCCTTTGGAATTGCACAGGAATGGGCTGCTTTTCACACAGTGCTAGAGCAGTTCCAGTTCTCTACAGGCTTCATTGTGCCACCCTCACTCAGTCCACAGGGGTTGCGTTTACAGGAGCTGTACCTGAGTGAGGGGTGCAAGATTTGACCCTACAGCAGGGAGGTCACAGCCTGTGGTCATTTACATACATGCATAATAATTTCACTTACACGAGGCATTTAATTGAGTTCAAGTGTCTGGGAAGCAGCAAAACACGACGGTGAGCTCAGTGAGCTCCTCCTGTGAGCAAACTGACTGAGAAGTTTGCAGGGTCAAGCCCTCAGAACAACTCTGGGAGACACTGAACTTTCCAGTCACTTGAAGTCACACAGTGTTCAACATCTGCCTCCTGGCAAGGTGTCTAACACACCTCAGGAGCCATGTGTCTTTTTTCCTAAACACAAACACACTAAGAACATAAAACTTACCAAGATGGTAGTGACTACTATAGTTCTGTTCTCCACAGATGAAGTGTCATTAGAGGGCAGCTGATCTAATGCTGGCACAAATCTTTCATATTCATTCCAGTAACCAGCCTATAAAAAAAGGAGATTGTTACCTCATTACATACCTTTACAAAAGGACTCTGGTACCTGAACTTGTAAAAGAAACTGTCAAAACATGTGGCTTTGTAACATTTCTCACACACGGTCATTAATGTCATTAAGGGACCACATTAGCTTTAAGGTAATTTCCTTAAAGAAACAATGTTCTCAATCCCCAGAGCAAATAAGCACAAGCCAAATCTAATTGAAAATACATATTAAATTCTCGCTATCTCAATCAATCGTGGTGCTTGTGGAATAAATTTCCACGTTTCCACAGCATAAGAATACACTATAGACATGAAAATAAACTGCACAGCATTCTGAATAAAATTCTCTGATTTTGTAATTTTTATCCATATTCTGCTGCAGTTTGGCCAGTGAATACAGCCCCTGCAGACCTGCCTGAGCTGGTTTTGGAGCAGATGCAGACATTGTTAGCAATGCAGGCACAGCAGCTTTATCCTCAGTACAGGACACAAACCCCTTTGTGAGCACGAGGTGACTGTTTATCAGCTGGCTGGTGCTGACCTTCGTGGTGCTGTGGCTACATCACTAGGCTGTTACACTAGTTTTTATATTTCTGCACAACACAGAAGCAACACTGTTGGCTGCACTGTACACCTACCTGAGTGGCTGGGCCATGTCCACAGGCATTTTGCTATCAAACATGTGCAGAATTGTTTAAGGAGTCTCAGTGGTGACCAAGCAGGTTAGGTACCTATCTCCAGGTGAAATCAGGGGGATTTAAGAGACTCAGCTACGCAGACTCCTCTCTCAGTACTTCTGTGACCCTGTCTACCCAATTATTTTTGAAATTCTGCCTTAAACTTCTTTTATAAAACAGAACCAGGCAATTATCCTACTTAGGATCTACAATTTATTTAGAAGATATGACTATGAGTAGGAAATTCTAACTAAAACCAAACTTATTTTCTGTTAATTTCATAAGGTTTCACTGGTTCCAGCTTCACTGTGGCCCTAAAGCACTAGGGAAGGAAAGATTGAAAAAATTTAGAAGATAAAGCTGAGCACAGGAGTATGACAGCAGATATTATGTTTGGCAGCAGAAAATCTCCAGAAGGGTTTTAAAGGAAGAAGTTGTGTCTGAAGTTGACATGGAAACCCATGAAAATATTAAGCAAGGTGAGTGGTTTAGTCCAGGAACTGAACAGAGCAAAGTTCCTGGGATAGGGAAGACAGTAGAGAAAGTGGGGGTTTCTCAGGGCCCTGCTATTACACTGCCTCTATGGTATTTTTGTTTCATTAGTTTCTTGGAATAAATATTTGTGAGGGTGTGAAATCTGGATGCACATCTTGGAACTCACCTTCCGTGATCCACCAGCTTTCATTTCATACACATCAATTGTGTAATTCATTCTCCGCCCATAGGTGTCAAACTGAATGTTCCCTGTCATTCCTTGAACTTGCACCTTAAGGGAATAAACAGGAAAAACATTTTAATAAAAGATTCACTTTATTTTTCCCCCCTCTGTTACATTTTGTAGGAACCCACTTGCTCTAGCCCAGTTTTTATCTATGTAAGAGCCCGGTAGTGCTTTTGACACAGCCAGTTATACTCTTCAAAACAAACCCAGTCCAAACCCATTCGGTTACTCACTGATGCAGAGTGAGCTGCATTTAGGTGAAATTAGTGCTGCAGGCATGTTAAATGTAAGAAGGACTGATCCTGCCACGCTTGGTCACGCTGGGTTCGCTGGTGCAGCACGGAGCACCAGCGAGGCACAAACAACAATTCAGTGCCATCAAACCTCTCACAATACGGTACAGAGCAATCTGCAGTACGGAGCAGAATGACATAGCACATTCCAGGAAGTGCTTTATTTTAAGATCAGTCCCAGGGCAGGGGAGAGGAATGAATGTCTTCTCTGAATGAGCACAGACAATTGTCTCTACTGCTTATGGAATTTTGGTCTCGGTCGGGATGGATGGGTGTGCAGACGGTAAGTCATTAGCATTGCCTACTCACATGAATCATCCAAAGGGGAAGTATAAAGTACTTCATTTCAAAGAAAAAGTCTTTCTTATTTCCCTGTATTAAAGGATGAGGTATTTTCACTCACATCACTTATCAACATCGACAAGCTGTCATCTCAGGCATTAGTGGTAACAGTCTCAAACTTCAGTGGGGGTAAATTAGCTTTAATATTTAGCAAAAACTGTGGAAGTTCCAGGAAGAAGTGAGGTTAGACTAGTCAAAGGCAAACTCTTCAGGGCTGGTGACTGATCTGCTGTTCACAGTTTAGAGATGGTGGACAAGGATACATAAAATAACCAAAATTCCACCCCAAATTATCCAGTGAGCCAAATTCAGACTGACATATTGGATTCAGACTAAGTGGATTTGAACCTTTCTTAAAATAGTTTATGTCATTACAGGGGGCTGGAAGAAAATGTGAGTTATTCATCTCCAGAAAGCTAGAGAGATGAATTGGACTTTGAAAACCAAATTCTACTCTAAGAGGTCTTATAAACTGTGGACTGAGCAAATGCATTTGTAGGGTAGATGACACAGAAGTTGCATCCAGATGTGAGTTGCTGTGCCTGCTTTTGGCTCCTGCTGGAAGCTGCCTGGCTACCTTAGCACAGCAGTGACTGTTCCAGCAGAGCTTGTTAGACCAGCTTCATCCTGATGGGCGTTGAGACATGAGCTTCGTGCACTGGACACCTCTGGACTTCAAATTTAATTTGTTTCTATCTTTGGTGGGAAAACTCAGCACTTTGCAAAACCTGGCTGCACTGAGGCAGGAAGGCTCACCAGGACTGAAACTCTTCCTGTAGCAGCACGTGGAGGCAAATCACAAACACAGTGACTGTTTATAAGTGTCCAGATCTGCTCAGGTAAACTGTCTGCCACTGACCTCATGTCTTAGAACCAGCTACAGAAACAAAGACATGCACAGTTTTCAAGGCTGCATGGAAGAAGACTCAAGTAATGCCTATTTCTCTTTCACCAGCAGCATGACTGTAGTGTGGCATTGCTGGCACAGGATGGATATTTCAAGGATAGCTCAGAACAAAATATTCTTATCTGAGTTGATGCCACAGAGTGGAGAGGAAACACTGTTAAATCAAAGGTGGTTTTTATTTTTCCCTGAAGCAAAGATTCGAGATCACAGTCTGAACAGAAGGAAAGAGGATGATGGAACAGGATGGGGACTGGAAGGCAGTGTGGGATGATCTTGGGTAGTTCTTGTTGGAGGTGTATATAAAGCTCACTTGCATGACTTTGAAAAGCTAAAACAATACAAGGCAACCAGCTAAAAGTCAAACTTCTGCATTTTTTGCCAATCAAGAGTTTGGCTTTTTACATATATATATATATATTATTATTTTTTTTAAAATTCTCCTAAATAAGGGAGACTCCTGTAGAAGTGTTGGTTTTCTCTATTGACATGAATATCTTGTACCTCATTCAGAGGAGTTCTATGTTTTGCTTGTAATTAAGTTCAAATGAACAGTACAAATTCTTTAACTACTTTAGTGAATGTGCAGTTAGGAAGTGACAACATGGTATAAAAAAGAGCTCTGGCTCTTTTTATGTGAGACTGAACCATCTCTCTCATTCCTAAGAGCAATATAATCTGATTACAACTGTCCACAATTCATTATAACCTTCTGATATAATCCTTACAATTTGGTAACTGAGAAAAAGCAGTAATTAAGCCAAGTGTATGAAGGCTGACCTAGGATTTGTTTACACCTAACATGGGCTTAATTCTGATTTTACTCACTCCAGCCCTACGTCTGCATTACTATAGTCAATTCTAACAGGTTTATTTGAGAGTTATTTGAGCCAGATCAAAAGCAGAGTTCTTGTCTCTTGTATCTAAAAAAAAAAATAAAATTATTCAATTTTCTTTGTTGTCACTTGCTTTAACCAAATAGCAGCATAAGAAGAGTGAAAAATCCTCCCCCTGAGGAGCTGCAGCTGTCTGTGTGAGAGCAGGAGCTCTGTGTACATGGAGCAGGACACAAGCACGGTCCCACTGCTGCTGCTGTGGAACACACACATTCATTAACCAGGAGAATTGCCCTTACCATTTTCAGCGCTCTCTCGATGTCAATTCCTTGGCTCCAGGGCACTGCAGGGTTAGCCAGGCAGTCTCCAGCACTGCCTCTCCTGGAGACATCCACACGCTGCCTTCGGAGGTAGCGGAAAGCCTCAGCTATGACCAGGACTGCATCGTGGGTCAGTGCAGATGTGTACTGCAATCGGTGCAGAGAAAGGATGGTGACAAACTGCCGTCTTAAAATTGCCCCAGGTGTGTCAGGTGAAGTCCTCCTCTTTGTTAGAACACTCTTACAAGAATCATGCTTTTGTAGTTTAACAATTCATCTTATTTCAATTAACAAATTTAAAATATTTTGTATAGCACGTGTGGCAGCAAAATAACAAAACCAGTTTACAGTTGCACAAAATTTCAATTTAATTGGAAACTTGCTCATCTAAATGAGTTTAGTGCAAAAGTCTGCAGTTCCATGCTGGACCATACTGCTACCACAGAAAAGCTCATGTGTGGGTTTTTTCTTGGAGTATTTTTTTTGTTTTTAACAAGATTGCCAAGGCAGCTCTGAACTGAAGTTAACATAAGTCATTTCTGCTTGGATCACAATTCTGATTAGGTAGCATCTGTGGCAAGAAGTAGATCAGATTAGTTTTCTTAGAAAACAGCTATACAGGCAAGCAATCACAAAATACACTTTAGGCATTATATCTCTTCAGTAATTTCCCCACCTGCCTTCCCTTACTCCATGGCACATCTGCAGAGGGTGGTAAACTCTGTGTAGCAGCAGCTCTTGAACAAAACCCCCAGACAACTGAACTTACTTGTTCATGTTGCTGTCAACTTCATCCACTGCTTGTCACACGTATCTGGTGACACCCCCAGTGCTATAAATTTAGTATCACCTAGGAAATGTTATGGAAGTGGGGGGTTTTTTTCCACATTTTCCCCACATTTATGTGTTTGTCTGAAAGTTTGTCCCTCCTGGACTTTGCATGTGACATTTCTGGGTTTCACTGGCATTACACCTCTAACTTCAGGGTCTGTGTACATAACCTACTGAGAGCAACCAAAAGTGCTCAGTGTGTAAGACCAGATTTCAAACCCCTTGTAACTGATCCCTCTTATTTCCCCAGTGTTTTTAAGAGGATGAAGAGGAGAAAAGCAGAATGTAAGAGGGGTCTGTGTGTACTGGTGCTCCTGCCCTTCTTTTGGCAGCCTGTGGTACCACAGAGACCCTGCCAACCAAGGAGGGTCAGAGGACATGCTGCCCATGCACGAGTTACAAAGGCAGAAATCCAAGTTTCAACTGCTTGTTCTGATTCTCTCTTTGTGGATAAGATTTATTATATTCAGAAGTTAATTCTATCCTGTAGGGCAGGATAGCACAACTGAAGGTCTGCATTTCTTATAACTGTGTGTTATCTTTCAGTTTGATATAAGCCCTTGTGAATTCTGCACAGAGTGAGGCGTCTGCACGTGCAGATCAAGAGACTTGTATCTGATAAAAAAGAGTGCAAAGGTGTGAAAAATGTTATACAGCAGGCATTGTTACTGAGCTTTGAACAACAGCAGTGTAGAAACCCTTACAGAGTGTGTGTGGTGGTTCCTGCCCTGACTGTAAAGGATGCTTTGCAATGATCACTCTCTCCTCTTTTAGAAAAAAAGTTAACATAGGTTATACGTCACAATCCATGCAACGATACAGAACCAGACAGTGTTTTTAAGACATTTGTTCTTGTATTAAAAAAAAAAAAATCTTGTAATAGCTGTCCAATCTAGCACTACATAAAACTTACACACTGATAATTTTTTCAGCAGACTGCGTCAATTGTCAGTAACCTTAATGCAGTCCCTTCCAAGTCATGCCAAAAGAGCTATCTAATTTTCTACTTTATTTGAATTCTACTTATAAATGCATGAGCATGCAAAGAGAAAAAAAGAGAGAAAGAAGGGAAAGGCTGATAAAATACAGAATAAATTAAACATCAGGGCTTTAATCTCTAGGCAATTTTATTTCCTAATCAAAAATACTGTACATCAATTTTTAAGTATGCTTTTTGTCTGATTGACAAATACTGTGCACATTTCTATAATGAGCGATACATTTGTGGAAAGGTAATGTAATCTTTGTGTTTGTACCATATACTTAAGAATCTTTTCTAAGGAGAGAGAATAATTATTCCCTCAAGGTAAATTGCTTTCAAGTGGAATAAAATTTTCTCAGGTTAACTTTATATATTTCAGAGCTTTTAAGATTTGTATGATACTTATCTTCACTTCTGCATCACTGCTAGGAAGCTTTAGAAAACAGGACTAGGTCCTAATCCACAAGCAACAATACACTAATCTGGGTTTTGAGGGCCTCTGTTTCCCTTTCTCTGCTTCCTCTGAAATACCCACCAAAGCTGTGGGATGGGATTAAGATAATTTTCCTCCCTCACAGAACTCCCATGCTCCCAGGGATGGAAAGGTGGATCTCCTAATGGCACTGTCAGAAGCAGCAGAACCTTGGGACTGGTTCCTGTTGTGTCTGTATTCAAACCCAGCACTTCCACCTGCCCTGGTAACCCTCCATGCATGGGACTGAAACAGATTTTTCCTCCCTATGTATTATTTTAATGCTTTCCTGAATTTTGTCTTACTAATACCAAGACATGACTCCAGTTTATCAAAGTAATTTTGAATTCCAAATCTGTTCATCAATTTGCATGTGTCCCTCCCAAATTAACAGGAAAGACATGAACTGTCTAACCATGGCTGTGGTTCTTAGGTTTCCCTGAATGGACTTCTGGGAGTGACAGAATTTAAGGTCTTCTCATCTACCACCAGACCAATATCCATTCACCATTGGATATTGTTGAAAAAGAACAATCTTCACCAAAAGAGGAAGAGATAGAAGGAACATAATAGGAATATTAGTAATATGCAGTGGTCCTATAAGATTTCATGATTTCCATGCCTGGATAGAGTATCCCTGATGCACTCCTTGACTGGACAGTCAACAGCATCTCTACTATGGAGATGCTGAGGCACAAAAAGATCAGGGGGAGATAGTAACAGGTTGCCAGACTCCTAATAAGAACTGCATTTACTTCACTCACTCTATGACAGTTTTGGTGAACCTGGGACTTCCATTCAAAAAAAAAATTGAAAAATTTTATTGGTTGCAGATATAATGGCCAGACTATTTAAGTAAAGGACAGAGGTGCAAAATACAGGGTTAGATTAGGAGGGCAACTGTCAGCAGTGACTAGAGGTAGCAGTGGCTTCTCAGTGAATCTAGAGCTACTTCATTTTGCACATGAAATTTTCTATTACCATTTAAATGCACTAGTAATCCACAGTTTGCATGTAAACCCTAACCTAACTAGCCCCCACACCCACCCCAAGACTAACTCAAGAAACTCAAGTCAAATATCTACTGCACAATGACAGGATTTGCAAGACCAAGCCTTTGCCTCTTAGGCACTCCCAGCATGGTGGGCACTTGTGTCTGACTACCAGCCTCTGCTTCTTTCTTCTGGAAAGGCAGTGAATGTTGCAATATATTCTAATCAGGGGTCTGTATCATACATATGCAAATATCTGAGGTTAAAAAGTCACAAATAATTGTTAAAAGCATATCATCGTCATCACTGTCAGGTTAAAATAAATACCTTTAATGGTGAGTTTTTGGCTTCAGGGAATTCCCTTTCATCAAGCCTCACCCAGCGCTGTAGAAACTGTTGAACCATTGGGTTTTCATTATTAACAATCTGGAATCCAGTAATGTTGGCACCTCCATGCATTACTCTCTCCAGAACAATGTCTGTGAAACCCTGGGAGGACACACGTAGGAAACAAGAATCATTGTCATCCAAAGTCCCTTTTCTTTGGCTCAGTTATACCTGCTACAAGTGTAGCACAAAAGAAATGGATTAATGTCCCTCTTGTTAGCTGAAAATATTCTATCAAGGAGACACTGAATAGCATTTAAAACATCTTTTTGTTCTTTCAGTAGAAAACTGCCCTGTTGGATTGTGGCAATGTGGTACATAATGTTTGCCAGTCAGGAAGAAAACTGGGGGGAAACCTGAAGTTATTATTTCCTCTGTCGTCCTCAACATGATAAAACTGGTCAAAGACCTCAAATCCCATTCGTACAGCAAAAGTGCAAGTGAAGGTTCAGGGCTGGGAGCAGAAAACCACTTGACACTCAACTGTTCTGTGGAGGCAAAGCACACACCTCTTGCCAGGCAATTCTCCATCATAGCATCACTTACTTAGCATTTCACTTGCAAACAGAACGGGATGATTCTCTCCCACTCTGTTGTTATTTATACCTGAGGCAGTAAATTGGAGTCTTTCTGATTAGTATGACTTGATTGCAGTCATGTTTATCTGAATGTCAATGGTTACACATGCTAAAAGGCAAACCAGAATAAGAACCTCTGTATTTCTCTGCACACACTAATCAGCGAGGTCATGACTGGTTCTTATAATGCAAAATGACACATCTTTAAGTCAGACAGCACTTATACTAAATAAGGGTAATTTAAAATTTGTCTTTTCTGCTTTAATCACACCAAAACACGGATATAGAAAACCTTTGAGTAAGTAGCGTTGCTAACTAGAAAGTGTGAGTTTTGGAAAAACATTTTTCCAATCACAGTAGACACAGAACCCAAAACTGAGTCTTCCTGCAGGATTACAATACGAGATGTTTATAAGGAACTTAAACAGATGGTGTTTCAAAGGCATCACAGAAGTCCCTGAAAGTCAATCCTACAACAGAAGAAGCTCTGATACAGATAAAACTGTACTGCCTCTTCCTGGTAGGTCAGCACATACAAAGGCACAACTGAAATACAAAAGAAAAACTAAACAGCCTGGCTGGTTTAGTTGATGGAATTGTTCTAATTTGCAGCTTTTTACCACTTATACACAAATATGCTACAATTATTTTTCCTGGAGTGCTTAAATATAAAGTATGTTACACAGAAGATTACAGTCACAAGCATCTAGTTTATGAGGACAGAAATTAGTGCAAAGCATACAATTAAATTATTATTTTAAAACTGGTAGAGGATATGAGATTCTCAGACAAAAGAAAGACCATAAATGAGTAAAAATGAAATACCAGTTCTAGTATTTACTGAAGTAATTTCTCAAAATCTAAGACCTCATCCATGCATTTCCACTTCCTGATTAAAGTTGCCACAACCTGAACAGAATATATTACTCTCTAACACTTGTCATGAAGAAAAGTTCTTACCAGGTTAGCTAACATGTAGTGATAGCCTCTAGAATGTTTGCCGAGGACTACAACCTGTGTGAAGAAAAAAATTACACATTATTCAACTGTAAGAAAATGACTCTCAACCAGTGGAAAACAGCCAGAGAATGAACAACACTGGTAATCCTTTATGCTCAATCCACGGACATGATGTAGCAGGTTCTGTTTTTAAAACACACGGGCAGAGAAAAAAAGAGTAAAACTCACAAGGCTGGGGAGACTCCGCTTGCAGAGATGACCTTACCCGGAACACTCACTCTTGTGTGTCTTCCCTGCTGGCCAGATCGATTTTAGTTATCAGTTCAAGTATTTCTGCTCTGAAATGAGGTAATACTATACCCACCCACTCACCAAACTCCTGTTTACTTTGCCCCTTGTTTGTGGAGTGTGTGAGAGGCAGAGGACACAGCCCAGCCACTCATGTTTGGGTGGGTGGGCTCCAGGTTGTACAGGGAGTTTCCTGCCATGACCACCCTGGCCAAGCCTTGTCATACATGAATGTTTAAATTCAAATTCCTAAAGTTATAAGCAGTGACCTTCATTGCCTTTTCACAGCTTTCAAAAGGCCTGAGAACTTGTCACTTCCAGTGCATCTAAATGGACACATCTGACCTTATATGTTTTGTCAAAATTTCTACTAAATGCTATGTGGCACAACCCACTAAACAACATCTCCTGCTCTCCCTGACCCCATTTGGTCATCTCTCTGTACAAACAGTCATTAAATGGAATTGCTAAGAGACAAAAAGGCAGTAGGATGAACGGAGCAGGTGGATTCTGTGAGGGTCACGGGGGAGGAGTGGAGGCAACACTGTCTGGCAAGCCTGAACTCTGCCATCCTGTGTGCTCATCCCCACTTTAGGAATACTGTGCTTTTGCATAAAGAACAAAACCAAACATATCTCCCATGTCTACTCAGCTGGCTGCTGCCTCACCAGCAATCCCTTTGTGCAAGGCTATGCCACTGCACGTGGGACCCAGCCCTTGCCTTCAGATGGTAATCTCAGTAACATCCATCCAGTCCTGCAGCCATCAGGTGCAACAACATCCAGCAGTAAGAATTACAATTGTGGTGCTTCCATGTGTGTCAGGACATAACCCATCTTACCCAGAACTGCTGGTTCCAAAATAGCCAACATAATGCTGGTGATACACACAAGTGTATCACTGACCACATCCTATGAGCAGCTCAAGTGAGCAGATGATGCTCTTTGATGGAGAATCATCTGAAAATCTATACACACCATACAAACATACTTGTCCACGGTCACAGAAAAACACTCCAAATGCCATACTTTAAAAAGACATCTTTTCAACATGACCACTTGCTAAAAACAGATGACATTTGAGTCACTGACTTTAGATATATGGCTGAGCCTGTTCAAGTTCTTGATTAAATTATTAAGTTCCCAATTGCCTCTTTGGGTAGTATTGTCCTTAATAGGCGCCATTTCTTTTAAATTCACATTTAATTCTGTAGGAATTTGCATACTTCCAGTAGTCTGAAAATAAATTGCTGTTAAGGTCCTCTGGAGAACTGTATGTACACTTTGCTGGTAGAAAGCATCTGCTTTCCTACACTCACATTTGTTTTCCATGGAAATGTGCAGGCTTTCTTCAGATCATCTGGTGTGCATGCTATTTGCATACTGAATTCTCTGTGTTTTAATTTCACCTTAAAGGCAGGTTAGAGACAAAGAACTTATTTAAGAACAACAATACTCTTTGTGGTTTTAACCTTAATAACAAATAAGAAAGCTTTTACATTCCTACACAGAAATGTGTTTATTTAGGAGAAAAATATCACCACAGACGAAGTCAGAGGCTGTAAGAAAAACATACATGGAGCTCCTACAGGCATCAGGAGCAATAATGCAAATAGGAAATGTAGGGTTCATTAGCATAGATTGGACTCAACTTCTGTCTCATCTGTTGTCATGTCTTCAAAATGACCAGAAATAATTCAGTTTAGTCCCTTAGAGAGGTTCAACATTCAAGCCTTAATTCACAGAGCATCTTTCAGAAGTGACCTGCCAGCATTTCTACTCACACAACCAACCGTGTTAGCTCATAACCATTGAACTGGATCTTAACAATGTTTTTAAAATTCACTACACACTACATTGCAGTCCTAAATCTTAACAAGTACAACTCTACTCCTCCCTCACTTTCCACCCTCTACCAACTGCCCAGCAAGTCGAAGGGAGCTGCTGGATTAGCGAGCCCAGCAGAAACAATCACAGACGTGTTACTCCTAGGGGAGTGAAGGGATGGATAAAGCTTCTTTATGAAGAAGGAAAACAGGAGTATAACAAATAAATCTCATCAGCTGCTGATATATTGTGAAGCTTATACAGAAAGTGGGATATTGAATAGTGGTGGTGAATAGAAAGCCAGGATTACAGGGCAAGGATTTCAGAGAGCTACATGTCTTTCCTAAGTTTGACTTCCGAGTCTTAATATTGCTTTCACCTTGACTGAAAGAAAAGCTTATAAGGTTTTACACTGAACAAAGGAGGAAGGAAAAAAATGGCTGGAAACCATCATGAATAATTCAGATTTCTGATCCCACGTAATTCTTGCTTTGTAGATAAAAAGATCATAATGTCAGGTTTGATATAGAATCAAAGTTTATATTTTTAATTAATTCTTTGGATATTTTCAATTAATTAAGAGAATATCTAGAGGGAACATAATTAAAATGTATCTGCTTTCAAAATAAAAGTAAAATTTGCTGGCCAACACCAGGCTTACAGTTCAAAGACCACAACACCTAAGAGGAAGGACAATGAAGAAGAAGCAGAATAACTTTCATATTAACGTCACAATTGCTGCATTATCTTTTGACTTATTTCCTAGTCAAATTACAAGCACAGGTAGTTCCTGGTCTAGAACATGGATCTGGGTTTTTAGGCCATGAAAATTAAATACTGGGGTTAAGGATGAAGAAAACATTACAAGGAGACTGGTGAACTCTTAGATGAAAGTAAAGGCATGAAAAATCAAAGAAATGAATATTTCTCCAAGGACTCAGTGATGAACTAAGATGGTAAGAACAAAGTGTGTAGGTGAGCAATAGTAGCAGACCACAGGCAAGGTAAGGATGAGCTAACGAATGACAAGACCCTGTGGACTCAAAAGAAATCAAGCAATGCAAGAACATTCAAGTCTGGTAGGTGGGAATGAGCAGTCCTAGTTTGTCTTTTAAAAATATCAGTGGTCTGTCTCTGATTCGTAAAACTTTTCGTTTACAGATGAAGGAAATCACAGAACAGGTGAGGCTGGCAGAGGTCTCTAGGAATTGTCTGTTCCAATCCACAAGCTCAAAGTAGGGGCAGCAAGAGCAGGCTGCTCAGGACCATGTCCAGTCAGGTTTGAACATCCCCAAGACAGATTCCACAAGCTCTTTAGGCAGCCTGTTTCAGTGTCTGACCACCCTCACTGGGCATTGATGAGACCCTGAAACTCAGAGACACTCTGTAAGAAAAGCCTGACTCGAACGTCTTCACTCCTTCCTATCAGGTATTTGCACACAACATTGCTTTGAGCTTTCTCCTCTCCAGGCCATGCAGCAATGCAACCCAAGTTCTCTCAGCTTTTCTTTGTCAGTCAGATGTTCCAGTCCCTTAATGGCCATATGGCCCCTTCCCTGGACTTATTCCTGGATGCCCATGTCTTTGCTGCACTGGTGAGCCCAGAACTGTACATGGCACTTCAGATGTGGCCTCACCACTGCAGAGCAGAGGGGAAGGGTCACTCTGTTGACCTGCTGACCATGCTAATACAGTGCAGCCTGGCATGTTCTTGGCCTTCTTTGCTGTGACACTGCAGTGCTGGCTTGTGGTCAACCTGAGTGCCAGGACCCCAAGATCCTTCTCTGCAGAGCTGCTTTCCAGCCAGGAAGCCTCTGTACTGGTGCATGGGGTTATTCTTCCCAGGTGCAGGGCTTTGTACTTCCTTTTGTTGAACTTCATGAGGTTCCTCTCTGTCCACTTCATCATCCTGTCCAAGTACTGCAGCACAACTACCTGGTGTACCAAACTCCTCCCAATTTGGTATCATCTGCCAACTTGCTGAGACTGCACTCCAGCCCACAACCTTCAGTTCACTTAAAGAGAGGTTAAACAGTATTAGCCCCAGCACCCTTAGGGTACTCCAAATACTGAACAGCCTCCAGCTGGCCTCTGTCTTGCTGATCACAACCCTCTAAGCCCAGCAGTTCAGTCACTTTCAAATCCACCTTCCTGCCTCTGTGGGCTTTGATTTTAAAGAGTCATTGAAAAATACAAGCTAAGAGGATATGCCTGCACTTTTACTGAGGGAGGGAGCTATCATGACTTTGGCAGCAGTAAAAGGAAAACCACCATGTCCAATTAATACCTGTTAGGAGCTCATCTTCATTTGAATCCACTGCCATCTGGTCAGTTTAGTCCGTTTAATCAAAGTTATTTATCACCCTTTATTTACAAATGAGAAAAGAAAGAAAAAAACTAGATCACAAATGTACAGACCACCTCATGCACAGCTCAAAACCATGATATTTTATGAGTCTATTAGATCTTCCATAACACACTGATGCTGACAGGCAGTATTGCCACAAAGAAAGTCTGGAGATTTTTACTGTGCTTTTCATACCAGACAAGCGGCAGAAATATGCCACTTTAATGGAATGACAGGCAGAGATCTGACCTGCTGTAACGTGTCTTTCCATTTTGACCCTCTCTGGGAACAAGGCAGGGTAGAACTCTGGAGTTCTTCTTTCCTATGTTTTAAAAAGACAGTAGTAAGAAAAATGAGATTTCCTATAAACTCAGAGTAAAAAAAGGATCTTATTGTCTTTGTTGAGGTTAGTTGTGCATAATTTTGGATTCCATTGTTGCAAAAAGCCCACATTCAGGAAAAAAACCCAATCTACTGATTTTTAAGTATATGTGCACATTTCTGAGGACAGAAGAGCTTAGCTACCTGCAGCTGAACAGTAACGTGCCTTTAAACCTTGCTATAGACATAAAATTATGACACCTTTGCCTTCA